GAGGACCAGCAAAGACATTTTGCCCCTATGAGCCTCCCTCAGCAGGTCATCAAACAGGGCAACCAATGCCTTTTTCGTACTGTGGCATGGCCTGACGTCCGACTGGAAATGGATCCAGGGCACTGGTTTCCTCCAAAAGAACCTGGAGCGGGTCAGCCACCAGCCACCCTCTCTACCAGTCTACCACATCTATTCCAATGATGCATTTTTGTGTGTGTAAAAAGAGCCAATGCAATCCTTTAGTTATATTCTAAAAGAAATAGTCTCCAGGAGCTTTAATGTATCCCATCATAATCAATGTTCTATATATTCTCCAAGCTGAAAAGTAGGCAGCTGTGATCTACCACCTATATTAAAACGGAAACTCTAATTTTATCTGAATCTCTTATTTTATCTGGTCAGTCAAAAAGCAGATCAAGGAATAGGACTGAAGCCTGTGCTGGATTAGGTTACACCCTCTCTCTGAAAACACAGGTGTGCAACTTGGGGGTGCTCCTTGATTCATCTGTGAGCCTGGATGCCCACGTTATGGCGGTAGCCAGGAGTGCACCAGCTGGGCCCATTTCTTGAGAGGTATTGTCTCTCCATGGTGATACATACCCTAGTTACATCTTGGCTGGATTACTGTATTGAGCTCTATGTGGGGCTACCTTTGGAAAGTGTTCAGAAACTCCAGATGGTCCAAAATGCTGCAGCCAGATTATTAACTGGGGCTGGTTACAGGGAACATATAACTCCCTTATTACAGCAGCTTAACTGGCTGCCGATATGTTTCCAGACACAATTTTAAGTGCTGCTTCTAACCTACAAAGTCCTAAACAACTTGGGCCCAAGCTATCTAAAATACCACATTTCTGAGCCTGCCCAAGCATTAAGATAATCAGGGGAGGCCTTTCTCTCAGTCTCACCATCCTCACTGATGTGCTTAGTAGAGACACAGAACCTTCTCTGTTGTTGCTCCCAGACTCTGGAACTCCCTCCCACCGGAAGCTCCACAAGCATGCAAATACCTTTCTGTTCAGGCAGGCTTTCCCTTAGTGACTGGTGGTCTGAGAGGCTTTTTTTTAATTGACTGTTGTGCTCTGTTGTTTTAAAGGTGTTTTAGTATTGATTTATTTATCATTTTTAATACTTGTTTAATGTTTTTTAAATATTTGTATATCTACTGTTCCAGCTTTTAATTGTTTTTAAATAGGAGAAACTGTTTTAGATAAATAAATAAATCAACAAACAAACAAATAAATAAATACTCTTGCTGAATTTTGCAATATTAGCAACTCTATCTGCAGCTGCTTTTTTTAACAGAATACCCTCTCAAAATATTCTGACAAGTTAAAACTGAGCTGAGACTCTAAGACGCTGTTGAACTCCAATTTGCAGTGGCCCTAACCAGCTTGGTCAATGGTGAAACATGACAGGAATACTAGTTTATCAACATCTGAAGGGAAGAGGTTTATCTGCTCCTTTTAAAGAATGAAGAGCCATGTGCCAACGAGGTGGTACGAGCTATACGCAGTGACACCTAAAATAACAGTTGTATCAAGGAAATATATACTACTAGACAAGCATCACTTCTAAACATCAGCAATGAGACATAGGTATTTTGCTAAATTGAATCAGGGTTGATAAAACAAATACTTCTATTCTGCTTAAGAGAAGAAGTCATCCTCTTCCCTTCCATGCACTGCAAAATAGCCAGTCGTGAAATTATCACTTTAACTTGATTTTGACAGGTGAGATAATTAATTTCATTAGAGTAGTTTGCATTAGTTTGAACAATTTGGCACTAGACAGAAAAATACTTTGTTTGTTTCAGAGTTCTCCCACAAGGTTGTCGTGATGCTGCTCGTGTCTGCGTGTGTTCCTCATGCTTATGATAATGAATGCTATTTTTAGCACTGTTGAAAGGCAGACACCTGCCCAGAGATTCCTGCATGGATTGCACCATATATAGGCTCCAGCGGATTGCTAGGCTGTTTTCAAGTTGGATACATAACATGATTTGAGTGTTCCATTTTAAAATTGTTATTTGTAGTTAACAATTGTTGAAAATATCACTAAGTACATAAACAGTAAGCTCTCTCTTAAAAGAAAATCAGAAACAAAAGATGTGTATCTATTTAAAAGGACTTACTTAAGTACCGTATTTTTTGCTCTGTAAGACGCACTTTTTCTCCCCCAAAAAGTGGGGTAGAAAGCCTGTGCGTCTTATGGAGCGAATGTGGTGATTTTGCCCCCCCCAGCCCCGTGGGCGGGAGCCTCCCAAGGGTCCGAGTGAGCCTTCCAGGACCCTTCCGACGCTCGCCCCACCCGCCACGGGGTCGGCGCGGGTGAAATCGGGAGC